GGCATGCTAGTGTCCTGTAGCTAAGTCCAGGCAGAAGGATTGTGAGTCAAGGATCATTTTATGAGTCAGGCACTATGACAGCATCGGTGACAAAGTCTGAAGAGGATGCACAGGAACCAGAGAAACATGTTTCAAACTGGGTAAGCGGGTAAGTGGCAGGGCCTGGTTAAAGGCAGCAAAGAACAGCCTGTGTGACAGAAAAAGGGCTGGGAGAGAACCTGCCAAGAACTGAAATAAGGTCAAGCAGGCCAAACAGCCACAACTAGCACCGAGTGGGGGAAGCAGCTTTAGCTGAGCAACAGCTAAAAACCAGTGAATCTACATGGCACTCTGGATGTGTAGGGCACCTCACCCATCAGGAACAGAAAGCAGTTCTCAGCTGGTCAGATTTCCTGGGGCTCCAGCCCTCCTGAGACTGACACGGAGCCAGGGTTTGCCTGGAAAGGGGAGGAAGGAGGCTGGCTTGTGTTAGGTGAAATAAGAGTGGAACTAAGACAGAAACGTCTTTATTCAGCTCAACCTCTGCATAAGATCATAGAGCAAAACAATTACAAACAACAAAGTCAAATACATTTATGTTTAAGCTTTGAAGAAAATCCTCCATCAAATGAATGGGACAGCTCTCCTCTGTGTGTGCAGGCAAACACAGGGTTTGGATAATGACAGTGGATGGTGTATCTTGGTCTTTTCCCTACAAACTACTGAGGGTAGAACTTAGAGGGTTAAAGGAGAAGTAAAGGCAATGGGGGGTTGTTACTGACAAGGTCAAGGAACAGATTACTCTTTCAGATAATAAACTTGTATGGTTTTCTAGGGCTGACCTACCACATTCCCAAGGTCCTATATCGTTGTCCCTTTGGTTTAGATTTCACCATCAACCAACTTCAAGGTTCCTTTCAGACTATGTTTCTTGTAAGTCCCCCCTATGCCAGTTGTGTCTGGGGCTCAGGGCCATTTCCGCTTCCTTGACTGACTCAGTGGGAGGTGGAAGCAAAGCAAAGTGTGATCTTGTCATTAGCTGTGATTAAGAGTTTTTGTAAGTGGCACAATGCATAACAAATAGCAAGGAATACAACAGTTTATGACATCTTGGTGGCTTGCACAGATGTTCAAAACCGTTAAGATAAAAATACTTCTTTTAGACTGTCACTTCCTTTAGCACGACAGCAGCAGTGCTGTGAAGCCTCAGTGCCAGCAGCTGTGACCAAAGTGTTTCCCCCTCCATGGTGAAGGCACACCTGGGATGTTCACAATACACAATATGTGCTGAGGACAACAGTTGCCAACCCCACTCCCCAGGGCACACCCATATCTCCAGCCCCTGTACTTCTGGTTCCAGCTGTGAGCCCAGCAGAGGTGAAGCTCCCAACCTGGAACATGGATCTTCCTCAAAGAAACTTGCAATTGCCAATTAAGCTTTTACAACTGTTGACAAAGTTATGAAAGTGCTAATTGTAATTTTTGCTACATCTATTCTTGCAAAACACCCATTTGAAGCAACAATTCTTTTTCTGGTGGTTTGTACCCTTCTGAGAGAGCTCCCATAGTGACTCCAATAACATCACACGGGTCAGTTATGCAGGACAGGGTGGTAAAGTCAATCCTGGACTCAAAAGCCTCTCTCTGTTACTCAGGAGTTAAAAGGAAGAGATGACTGTGGCTCGATATCCACTTTTGAAAAGCGGGTATTCAGAAGATTTGGATTAAGTGGTGACTCTCATCGTATGCTGCAAAATTAAGTTACTTAAGAGAAATTGTGTCAAGAGTTTTACAGCAAGAGCTAACTTCATAAGATCAAAAAGACATAACATGAATAAATTTAAATACAGTCTTGTTAATCTCTGAAGGTTAGATTAATTCACTTTCCAAAAATTGCAGGTGACCAATATGCATTTATACTAAACTTGGCTTTTCAGCATTTATTGTAATGATTCTTCTAAATATTTTCACAGTGGGACTCTGCAAATGTGTTTTTCATTTTTTTTGATAGTAAGCACTATGTTTCAGTCTGGGAGCAAAACCCTAATTCAAATATCCCTCCAATACATTTTCAGTAATTCTTACTTATCAAGCAATTAATCTCAGCCAACAGCCTATGCAGGCTATAAAACTCTAAATTAATAACAATCCAAAACCAACCAAGCAGTTTTCACCCACCTTGAAATATGATATACTCACAATATAATTAATACCACTGTGCCCAGATTTTCCTTGGGGTTTTGTTTATCCAAGCCATTCATAACTGAATGTATACTGTCTACTGTCCTAGGAAAAAGAAAGTGTTTTGGTAGGTTAGTCACAGAGCCATGCTCTCCGAGTTAACACTTGTAGTTTTACTGTAATGTTGATGTCAGTATTGCTTAACAGGAATTCCTGGTTAAGAAAAAATTAAAGATAAAATCTGAATTTCAGCACAGGTTGTTCATTACCACAGGTCATTTGCCTCCTCACAGAAAGCCACACTGTAATTGCAGCTGTACAGCAGCATCAGTAGGGCTCTCGAAGCCACACGACACAGTGGCCCACAAAGATGGGAAAGGCCTCCCAACAACCTGAGCCAGTGCAAAGCCACAGCAGGGGCACAGGGGAGGAAAGATTTTCTCAATCAAGTTTTCAAGATATTCAGTAAACACATGTAAGCCATGCAAAAAATGGTAAGAGGGAGAGTATTCACTCGTCCCTCAGTTCCATGAGTAATTAAGGTGATGTTGCTGGAGTGGCTCTTCCCATCAGACCCTTTGGAGAAGAGGACCAACATCCTTCATGATTCAAGAGCTGAGGCGAATCCAGCTGCTCTGCACAGGACTGGCACAAAAAAGCCTTGGGGCAGCAGTGGAAGTGCTTCTCTAGCCCATTCTTTGACATCTGGCCTTGCCAACAGGAGTCAGTCGTGCCCAAAGCAGGGGGGAACAGAGAACACTGTGACATCTCACTGCTCACACACAAACCACTGCAGAAAACACTGCAAAAGCCAGAAAAACCTCCAGCTCCCCCTCTGCTCTATGAAGAGCCAATCTTCTCTCAGGTGGGCCCTACACATCATGTGCTTGAACTTGCACACCTTGAGAGGCAGAGCAGAGTCTCTTCCAAGCAGTTCCTGAATACTGTGGCAGCAAATGTCACTGCTCTGTGCAAGGTTCCATCCCAGCTACAACCCTTCAGCTCGACAATTCACATGCACATGGTAATCAAGTGCCCAGCTGTAACTCAATCCCAACCCTTTGTAAGGACATTTTTGTTAGTTTCAATAAAACAAACATAAAACGTAACTAAAATCCGGGCCTCAGGTTAACAACAATGCTTTGAAAACTTGTCCTGTAGCTTCAGACTGCATGCACAGCTAACAAAAACAAACACTGGACCACTGTGGTCAAAACTAACCAGGCCATGTTAAAAGAAATGTTTAAATACTCTAATTAAAAAACAAACAAACAAACAAAAACAAACCCAAAAGAACCCAAACAAAAAACAAAACCCAAACCCAAGCTGTAATAATTTAAAAACTTTTTATTGTGCTACAAGCCTTGGATCAAGCCTCAGAACAAATAAAAAAAACCCCAGCTACTAATCTGTAGAGACACAAACTCCAGCTTAGTAAATCAGGGTTATGGTTTGGGCCCCATGTTTCAAGGCAGTGAGAAAAAGCTACATGTGTAACAAAAACTTTGATTGTCCGTGTTTTCCTTGCTTTAGCCTTCTGTTTCTAAATGAGGTATGTACTTTCCACGCTCTCTAAACAACACACTTCCAGGAAGTGTTATTGAAAACCCTTTCTTAATAGTTTTGCTGCTACAAATAAAATGGAAGATTTTACACAGAAGCCACTGGAAGAAAGTTACTGAATACTGATATTGAAATATATTGTATAGCTCCTAAGTAACTCCTCTATAAAAATCAACTCCCAAGGCATCTTTGTCCTGCTGCTAACCTCCTTTTCAAAGCCCTTGTGCTTCCATGTATTTGCATCCCTCTTTTCTATGTCTTTAAACACTTAAAACACCCAGTATCAGCAGCCATGGAACTTCTCAGTTTAAGATACTGAAAAATCAAAGTAATTTGAAAAAACTATCTTCCTAATTTGAGCTGTCAGAATTTGATGACTATGCTAATTATTTTTTCACATTTAGTCTGAATAGAACTCTAATTGTATTAAAAAAAAACCAACAAAAAACTAAACCTACAGAGCAGTTATTTTGTCATCTCACTAACAGGCTTTTAACCCTTTAATGTCCCCAAGTGATTACAAGTTGAATTGCTATATAGCTGCATCTTTTATAATATTATATGAAAAAGATGCAATAAGGGATATGTTTTTATAAACACAGAAGGATACCTTTTAAAAGTTGCCAAGTTTTAATGTGAAGCATTTATGCTCTGCTCCACATTACTTGGACCATGTGTTTCCTCTCCATGTCAAGTTTAAAAGGTATTATTTGTCACCTACTTTCCAGCTTTTCTCAGACATTTTACATACTGTATTTACACCCCAAATCATCTCCTTACTAGGATTTAGTTTAGTACCAGTTTAAGCAAATTTGGTCAGTCTCTTTCCCAGCCAGGCCTCTGTTGCCACGTGCCAAGTCCTGCAGCCTGTGAGTTGGATCCAGCTGATCCAAACAGCCTCTCCCGTGACCCAGGACAAGGTTAGGTAACCAACCATCTGCTTAAGCAAGTCAGCAAAACACAGTTTGCCACCTTAACTAAAAAAGCTATTTCAGGCAAGATACATCAGCTCATGAGCTAACAACCCCCCTGCAAATAATTTCCCAGGAAAAGTACAGAAAACCCTCCCTGCAAGGGGTGCAAGGAACAGCCTGTGAGAACTGCCAGTCCATATCTGTCCTGAAAACTCTCCGCATGCAGGACATCTGAAACTCTCAACTCTTCACAAAGGCACAAGAAGGCAAAATAAAACATCTGTGCTGAATTCTTTATGAATTTCTACTCATCATCTATTTGTAAGACAAAATTCTATCAGAAAAAAATAGCAAAATTAATGTAGTTTAATTTTATAACTAAACAACTTTAATTTATACAAACAATAGATTTTATTTCCTCTCCAATTAAAATATGTTCATTATGCCTAATAACACTGTGGTTACATTAATAACAGTTTAGTTATAAAACAAAAAACAACAGAAAGCAGCCTTCTGTTATAAATTATTTTTTTTCCAGGTGAAAATCAAATACTGCTCAAGGAACAACTAGGTTGCACTTCATTTTACATATTCATTACATCACACAGCATAGATTAAAAAAATAGAAAAGGTAGATATTAAATTTCTGTGTATTTGATTTAAAACTTTTACCATGTGAAAAACTATATTCTCTATATTCTATATTCTAAATCTTTTAGTGTGTAGAACTCAAAAGTATATACACAGAACATAGTACTCCACAAAACAAGTCACATAATAAAGAAGAGTATAAAACAGCTGTACTAAAATACAAAGCTGTGATACTTTTTTAATTGGAAATGGAGTCTAGTATGAAAACATTTGAGTATTTTAAGGTGACTCTCATTAGAATAGTCCTTAACTTGCCCACTCCTCTCATGAAGGGCACAAGGTGCATAAAATCTCAATTTCTGTTTAGTTCTCAAAAATCAATGACATTAATGTACATTTTATATACAGAGGGATTTTTGTGGAAAATGGATGGCTAAAACTTCAGTTTACTGAAGCCAATTCATACATCTAAACCCGAAAAAATAGACAAGGAGACACATATCAAAACAGACAAACTTACAAAGCAGAAGAAGTAAACAGAAGGTGAAGTATTCAGCATCAGGTTTGTGTGTATATTCTGAATTATGTCACAACCACCGTTAGAGAAATGATATTTTCAATCTTACATAACATTTTTAAGAAGTTAAAATCTCAGCTATAATACACATGTATACAACACCATTTTAAATTAACTTACTTACAAATTTTATACAGGGATAGGCTCTTTATACAACTGTATTTGCATAAACTTCAGTCATACAGAGTCCTACCAAAGTGAAGCAAAGGAATGATCACAAAGGTTTGCATCATTTGGGCTTTCAGTCTATGAACTGAAGTTACAAAATATACATATTTACCTTTTTATATTGCTTTTTACGTACAAAAAAATTCACTTCAGAAAAATAATTTAAATAATTTTTGAAGTGTTAAAACACGTAGAGTTTGACAGCAGAAAAATCTAAATACTGCCATATGGTTACATCCTGGAATTAACTGCATTTTTAACATTACATTGCACATATTTAAAGCAATAAAGCAGGAAACATTTGCATCCCTAGTGCTGTGTATTTCACTAATACATAAAAATGTCCTGTTTTCTCATAATATCTGTACGACACAGAGGGCATTCACTGAGTACTTGAGCACATTCCTTACAGGCAACTAAGTGACCACAGGGAATGAAGACAACTGACACATCTTTAGCCATACAGATTTTACAGAGCTTTTCTTCTTGCAAGCATCTTAACTTCTCTTCAGTGCTGAGGTCTGAGGAAAAAAACACATAAAAAGAAGTTAACATACTCAGTAACAATCAATCTCATTCTTTTTTTTCCTCTTTACACACAAGGACAATGTTTTCTTCATATGATTTAAAGGTCACCCTTAAAAAGAACAAAATTAAATATTACAAGAGAGAGGAATCCCAGTTGCAGCATAGAATCCTCTTTTTTTCCCCCTTCTCATCTCATTACATCTCCCAAGCCAACACAAGCAGGGAGTTTAGCTATCTATATCTGTAAGAGCTTGAAACCACCAAAATAATGTCCAGCTGCATTGCAAGTTCTTTTTGCCCATAATGCCCATTAGAAATCTTATTTAAAGGAGTAGGCTGGTAAGATCTCTGCCTACCATGCCACCCATATGCTTGTCTTAAATTACAAGTCTCCTGAATCAGAATTCCTGGGTTTGGTCTATTTGCAGAGTGCACCACAAGGGCTTTCTGAGCATGACTTGCACATCCCAGCAAAGCTGGAACACAAATAACTGAAAAGAAACACCATTTAGAAGTACAATTCTTCTCATTGGCCAAGAAGGAAAATGCTTCTACCCCAAGCAAAATTATATACTGAAAACTAACCAATCCCCTACTAAGACTTTTTCATACTGAGCACACTGAATATGACACTGTATCACTGTGACCATTTCATTTTGCCTCAAGATACCCCACACCTATAGTTACTCTTGCTTTCACATGTAATTGTCACAATTTTGGCTTTTTTGTTAGCACATATAACCTTTCCCAGAAGCACACTAGACTTTCAGTATCACACATTTCTGAGGTACTAATATTACTTATTTTATAAATTATACTTATAAATGCTGCTACACTCAAATATTTTAACACCCTCTTTGTTCAGTTTTTTGAATGTCCAAACACAAATCCCTTGAATTTTAAGTTACAATACTGTAACTTCACCTTAGGTAAGGCTGGGATCAGAGGGTAGGATAAACAGATAACAACAAAAAGTATTTCACAGACTAAAGAGCTGATATGAAAGTACACACAGAGGTTTTGTAATTGAATAAGCTCATCTTGCTCAATTGGGATTTCATTTGGTTCTTCTTCCCTTGTATTTTCTTTCTGAGCACTTAAGTCTGCTACCAGATCCTCAACAGAGGTGTGACTTTCTCCAGTCATCTGCAATCTCTTTTCCATGGTGTTCCTAATCTCAGACAAACTGAAACCCATGGCTATGGCACTTTGTACCAAAGGATTCTGTAAGAGATCATCTAAAACAAGAAATTAAAAAAAAAAAATAAAAACAATTTAACAAGGATGAACCTAATTATTGGACAGTATTCACTACAGTACTCTAAGAGATGTTTGCAAATACGTAGCCAAAGGAACCATATTTCCAATTTGAGAATTTTGCTACTTTTAGGTATTTGGTAACATTAGTTTTAATTCAGTTCAGGGAAAAAAAAAAAAATCATACATATGTTGAGAGAAACCAATAAACAATTTGAATTTATAAAACCAAAACACAGCACCATCAGCAAGCAAGCAGGTCTATCCATGGTAAGACACAACACTACTTTGGGAAAACATTTTTCAGCATGTCGGACCTTCCTCTTACTTATCAAAATTGTTCAAAGAGTAAAATTTTTTAACCTGATTTTCACACTCATAAATGAGCAGTGTGAGAGATTTCTTAAACAGGTTTTGTGTAACCACTCTTAGTAGCAACAGCTCTCATTCCCTGGGATGAAGCTGCTTGACTGTCCTCCTCCTACCCCTTTAACTGTCCCGTCCTTTTATTGCTTGGTATTTGTGAAAAGCATTGCAGGAATGTGAAATACTGGAACACATAACAAACTACTTCAGCTTTCTCAGCTTCCTAGTCCTTGCCATTTAACAGCCCAACTCTTCCTGCCCCATGAAAAAGGATTCAGTTCAGTATTCTTTAACATCCATCCCACAGCACTGCTAATTCAATACTTGGTGTACACTCACTGGCTGTCAGACTGCATCCTATACATTCTTCTTCCATGGTTCAGCAATCTCCACTTTACAATATTTACCAAACCATGATTCTATTTCCCCTGAGAGAAATAAAATTCATTCTGCAGTTCTTTAGAAGCAACGTAGCAATGGAAGAGTATCATCCAACAATTTGCCTGTCATGCTTTATTTAAAAATGTAATAGGGTTATTTTTAAATCTAACCATTTCCTTCACTATACATTCAAATATGGATATTCCAAAATAGGGGGGAATACCTTTAGGAAGTATTGTCCCTTCAGCAGCTTCTGTCTAAAAGTGAAATACAAAAAGACAAAATTACAATTCTGAAGAAGTAGAAGGAAACCTATACAGTTACAAAACAGAAAATAGCTATTTGATCTCCATTATTTTTTAAATCCACTCTGAACAATTGCAAAATGATCAGTATTTTGTTATCTCTTTCATACCGTTTGTAACAAGAAAAGAAAATTTATCTGTTTTTAATCATCATAAACCTTAGGTTCCCAGGTTATAAAACAAATGGCACTTGTTCAGTACCCAATAGACAACAAATACAGAGTACCCTGGCTTTGTTCCATGATCCAGCTACAGAGAACTGGGAGACTAAACTCTGATTGACAGAACCAAAACCTACTTTGATGTCTTTCACTTTCTGCCAATGAAAAAAGCAGCAGGAGAATTAAATGACAGATACATAAGAAGAGTAACTTCATATGAAAATTATGTTAAGACTTTTTCTATTTTAACAAAACGATTAATAAGCAAGACACTTACTGTTGGATCACTACACGCGTCTCTTAAGTGAACATTATTTATAAATTCTATCCCCTTTTCCTTGCTCAAAAACCTGCACCTAAAAATGAAAATATTTAGTTTTACTAAAACCACATAAGAAGCAAAAATTTATTACATAACTTTGGAAGCTTTGATAAATTTCCTACATAATTCAGAATGCTGGCTTTTAAAATCTCTAATGTTTAGTCAACATCTGTGACGTTATTGAAACATTTCTAGAAATATCTTAATCGCTTAAGCAGTACTTTTCTTTCTCACTTTCTTTGGTGAAACAGAAAGCTGAAGAGTTATTGGCCATGACAGATCATGCCACAGGTTTAAAAAGGTAAAGACCAATTAAAACCAAACATTATGTTAAAATGCTGGTTCTTTTAGCCTTTTGCAACCAAAGCAGTCACTGGTAAGACAGGTGCCTTACATGCTTGCTTTCACTATTTTCCAGCCAGTCTCAGCCACTGGGCAGAGCTCTTCCCTACCAGAAGATGTAGGGAATGCCACAACTCCTAGGTAGTAGTTCTCCAGCTCCAGCTCACCTTTGGGGACACAGACAGCAGCTGTGAGACTGCCACTGCCACTGACGTGCCAACAACCCCCCAAACAGGACTCTTGATGACCTGAGAGGATCTAATCAAATCTGACATAGTTTAAGCAACCTAAACCAAAATCAAACCCAAACCAAGAGGAGTGAAATGTAGCAAGAAAACACATCTTAACCATTTGCTGCACCAAGCCAAAAACTTGGAATTGTATCTCTTTCGAGTGGCAGAGGCTAATAATTAAAATCTGCCTGTACCACTATTGGAAAAGGGAACAGCTAATACATAAATACCAATCTCAAACTTCCACAGAGCCTTTCACCACAAAAGAGAAATTTGGCAGCAAACACATAAAAGACATTGATTTTATCAGTGTTACATAAGTAACTGAGACTTTGTACTTGGACAGCTTCTGTCCACTTGTAAGAATTACTGAGTCATATACTGTTCTTCCTTTCCTCAAAATAGATTTAAGACAACATTGTCAGTCTTTCTAAAAAGCGCTTCTGGGTCTGGAATCCTTCATCCTTTAAATTATACAGAACTGTGTTTTGAATTCCATGCCACTGCCGACTGCTTCAGCTTTGTTTGCACTGTGACAGAAGCTTAGTCATTTTGTATCCTGGTATAAGTTACAAACATTAACATGTATGTAGCTAATAAGATAACCATTAGATGTAGCACTTGGATAATGAGAAGAAAAATCAGATACATATTCACAAAACTATGTAATTCTTCTTGCTAAGAGACCAGTTAAGTCCAGATAGAGAAAACTTTCCTTCCCTTTAATAATGCCTAGAAATAAGCCAACATAAAATTATTTTCATAACTTTAATTATTAAGCCATAATCAACCTTCTGAAACCTTTATTAGTATGCTCTGTCATTAAAATGCAACATACTGTAAATAAGACTCAGACATGCACCAAGAAAAGAGTAAAAAATGCCTTACCCAGGAAACCATTTGGCATGTTGATCCCATGGATCTTCATTTTCCTTCCATTCTCGCAATCCTCCACCACAGTGGAAACACACAACATGATCACCATTACCTGAGCAAACACACAAGAATTTCTAGTAAGCATAACATCAAGTTTGCAACTAAAATGTTACATTACTAAGAAATGAAATGTTTATTTTACTGATTTGCAATTTCAACTAAAAAGAACTCCATTTTAACGGAGGACAACACACATGATTTAAACCAAATGTTCAGGAGAGAACTGAGCTTAAAAAAATACAAAATAAGAGTAGCACGAAGTTTTCCTGAATTTTATTTGAGTAAGTTATTATAGATAAAAAGTAAAAGCTAAAAATAATCTATTATTAAGTAACTCCATCCAATGGTAAACAAGCCCTGAAGATAGCCACAAAGAATTAGGGATGTTTACATGTCTTTTTGGCCCTTCATTTCCATGTTAAGTTCAACAGGCCCTATGCAGCAGTAGCATAACCAGCTGAGGAGAATTGCATTCTCTCTGTTCTAGCACTGTGTCTACTGTAATCCAAGACTGCACCAGAAACTACTAAGATATTGTGTTTATTGAGATGGGAGGAGGTATGGACAGAGTTTTTCTAAAGGGTTAAATTATTCTCAGGCCACAGGAAACAATTTTCACAGAAGTCACCTGAACAGCCGTGGGTCTGATAAGCTGGTGCCCAGTTACTGCACCTTCACAATACAGATCTCTTGGTACTTCTAGGAATTTAAGAAGAAATCAATAAAAACACTTCTGCTGGGTACAAATATTGTCCATATATAACCCATACAGGAATAAATCAAAGGTTATTTATGGCCACAGGTTGAACAAATGGAATCAGATTAAAAAGTTCTTCCAAGAGCTACTAAGAGAAGTCAATTAAGAAGAGAGCAAGAGATTACCCCTTTTCTTTGTGACCTCACACTTTGCACTCATACAGCACCTCTCAGAGAGGAATTTCAAAGGTCTTTAATGGCACTGTGCAATTCCATCTAACTGGGAAACCAATGCACAGAGACACTGGAGTCTTATCTAAGTCAAACACTACATGCCTAAGAGCAAAAGCTCTTCCACTGGCATCAGTGTCTTCATAAAGCTTTTACAGCAGGCAGTAGTGGCATCTGCTAGTTCTGGATGTCCACATGCCATAATAATGGAAACATGTGTTAACAAAGTAAAATGGCACACAACCTGCATTGTCTTGTTCCCAGGCCTCTGTGCAGGCCACAGGCCCACTCCTTACACCTCAGGTCTCGAGGACAGCAGTTCATGTCTTAAAAAATACTAACTCCAATAACTGTCATTGTGAAAGATGTATTATGAGGGTTTTAGCAGGCATGGAAAACATTTGGCTGTTTTACTGCTAGAAGTAAATTTATGACCAAGTTTCTATTTTGCTATTAAACATACCTGATATAATGTACATAATGTACTTAAGACACAAGAAGTGTGAGAAGTGGTTAACAGAGTAACACAATTCTGGCAAATCATTGCCTATTAGAATTTTTAAAAATGCCCTTTTTTCCCTAACAAGACATTTTCTCATATACAATTCCTTTGTAAAAGGTATTAGCCATTCTAAGGTCTGGCTTACCTACGCTGTAGAACCCAGCTTCTGCAAGTTGCTCTTTGTCAACAGGATATATCCAAGACAAAAACGTTTGTAAACGTCTTCCATACTTTGCCATAGATGGATTCCTTGGGTGCTGTGCATTGTTCAGGCCACTTATCCCAAATTCATCAGGAACAGATTCACTTGGAACATTTCCAACATCCCGGCCCAGTACAAAAAGGCATTTGGGAAAATGCCTCTTGTGTTCTGACCAAGCTCTGTCAGTGGGTTCCCAGTTCTTCAGTTTTCCACCACAACAAAAACACGCCACTTGATCACCAACACCTGTATAATAAAATCCAGCATTAGCTAATTCCTGTGGTGTCAATTGGTCATTGAGGGGCCAGTTGTGAAAAGACTTTAATCTTGTTTCTTCACTGCACATAGCAGGGTTCCTAGGATATAAAGTATCTGACATATCCACAACCTGCCTAGTTCTCAAAAGGTAATCTGCCTCCACGTCAGGGTCATCCAGGGCACACAGGAGGGCTGAATTGCTGGAACCATTTTCAGTTCTGTGCTGGTAGTTCTGGCCTACAGGATCCACATCATCTTCCAGAAAAGCAGAGTCGGTAATAAATTTGCAGTTTGGGGAAAGCTGTTTGTGCCTCTCAACTGCAGAATCCCCAGATGCCCATCCTTCAATAGTTGCATGGCAACTGAAGCACTCCACTTTGTCACCTTCTCCAGTGTAAATAAAGCCAGCTCGTGCCAGTGCTAAGGCCGACACCGGGCAGCCGAGGGGAAAGCCAACAAACGTGCCCAGGCGACAGCGTTCCTGTGCCCATTCCTGGCCACAGTCCGTGTCTGGGGTGGCACAGCCCGAATGATGCGGGACATTACACGTCATCTCTGCATAGCCACAGCTCTCCTTGAGGTTTCCTAAACAAAGAATATCTGGTTTAGTTTCACAGACAGAAGGACAGATCACACCCAGACACAAACTGGAAACTGGCTAAATTCAACTCCCCTTTCTGTATTAAAATGACTCTTCCTCTTCCCTCCCATCTCACCCATTATGTGCCACACAGAGGCAAACACCATAACACTAAAACCAAAATAATTTAAAAAATATGTAAAGAAAGGCAGAAATATCAAGATGTTTGACAGGCCTATAAACATTTACCTGGAAAACCCACCAGTTTATAGCTTTAAAAGCTATAAAAACAAAATATTTAACAAAACTTCTAAGTAAAACCCTGCCAAAAGACTTCTGAACCCAAAATACAAAGTTACTCAATTTAAAATACAGGTCTGAACCAGACCATATTTGCAGGATTTTAGAGCCCACTTCTCAAGCACAACTACCTATTATCCCCATATGAAGGCCATGACCCCCACCTCATTTAAAAGAAAACCAAAAAACCCCAACCAAAGAAACAAAAAAAAAACACCTTTTGTACTTCTGCTATATTGTAAAGACATACCTCAATTTATCTTTGAGCAAAATATCTTGTGAAATAAACTACTAGGTGTTTCACTAGGGCATTTTAACAACGAGCTGTGCACTGCTTTCAAGATCAGTGCCTTGGCATTAATGTTCACGCCCAGCACATTGCTTCCACTTTTCCATGCCCTACCTACACTCTCTTACCTAAAATTCCTGTGCCTCTGCCATCACCTCACCACCTGTTGCACACTCCTATTCCTCCCTACACTTTCCCAGGGTGAGTATCAACTGCTAGTCCTGCCCCATGTCCTTTCTGCAGAAGGCTGCTAAGGGAGCTCAGACAAGCCCCATCTCTCCCGAGGACGAAAGGAACCAACTTGGCTACAGCAGGTCTTGTGCAAGAACCACAAACTGTCACAGTCATTGCCTTCATCCCAGTATGGAGGAAATCAGAGCACAGGAAAACTTCACCCCTTGTCCAGACAAGTGCGGTGACATTATTGGCTTAGAAAGTCTTGGTTATTGCTCATACACATCTCAAAGTGGTAAATTAAATTATTGTGAGACTGCCCAAATCAAATTCTTAGCACAAAGCAGTAATAATTCAGCAATTAGCAAAAAGGAAGAACAGAATACATATTTATTTAAACAAGTGTCCTTCTCCATTTTCCACATGAATCCTGAAATATATCTATTTCCAGTCCTCATCTAAGTTAGGTGAGCAGGCAAAAATTCAGCTTCCTCAATGCCTGCATTAATATTGATTATACTTTCTGTGAGGTCAATGCAGATGTTATAATCGTAACAATTGCTTATATAAAACCAGATTTAGTTTCTACAGGAAGGACAAAAGCATTTTTAGAGTTCAGAAGGGAGAGGGGGAAATTAAAATGCCTGTGCATTGCAGGATTGCTGCATCCCCTGCCAAGATGACAAAGATAATTAACATACAAGCAGGTAGAGAAAACGTGACGTTAGAGACCCAGCATGAGCGCTTCATGTAATCACAAGACTTCCCAGCACCAGCTTTAATTCCTTCTGTATGTCAGCTCATGACTAATGTAATGACACTAGAAATTATACTGTAGCTGTCTGGTTTAGCTTAGCAAACTCAAAAATAGCCTCTAAATAAATTACATTGACTGACCTACAAATCTGACCTATATGCTTGTTTTGACTGTGAAGGGCAAAAAACCCCAAACAAGTAATTACATGTAGTAATATGAAAGCTGTCACAAAACATGTATTTTTATATACACATATATTGAAAACAAGTGGATTTTCATAACAGAAGTTTAAATATTCATTAAGCATTGAGGCAAACTCCTTGCTTGTGTAAGCATTGGTTTATATACAACATTAGTACTACTTTATATGCAGCATCAAGTTCAATTATTTCTATTTCAAACAAGTGTTAAAAAAAACCTATTCAAAGTGTAAAATCACAAGTAGTTCAGGAATAGTATTTCTGCACGGGTATTTTAACAGTTGCCTTACTCCATTTAGTTGGAATAATGATTTAAGCAATATCCTGCATCATAACAGCACTCAGACAGGTATTACCTGCAGAAGAAAAATGACTGAAGGTAAATTTTTGAATAGTTTATGGCTAAGAAACATAATTTCACAAAAATCACCCACCTAAGACAGGTATAAAAGACTTTATAATACATACCAGCAGCAAACCTGTGTTCAGAGTATGTATGCAGAGGTTAATTAAGCCTTTCTGCATAGGTTTTAATTAAGTACATGTGACTCAAAAGTAGAACATCCAGAAATGTTTTAACTATTATTGAAGCATTAAATATTTCCTTATACAGTGAGTGAACAAAATCTATTTTAGCCTGAAAAGCTTCCAGAAGCTGAGCCAAGTTTAACCCTACTTTTAAAGATCTGAAGGCAATTTGTCAGAAGACATCACCCATTTCCAAGCCAAAGTATCCATTCAGATAGTCCACTGATTATGTTTCAGCAGAAGAGATAAAAACAAAATTTATAGAAAAAAATGTTAACTTGTTCAAAATGCAAAATTTTATACTGTGGTTCTGCAAAAACCCCCATGATTAAATCAGCTTAAAAAATATTAACAGGTATGATTTCATGCAAAAATATGACATTATCATATTACCTAGATCTGAAATACTTCGAAGGAAAAGTACAGAACCCACTGTCCCTTTCAAGTATATTTTATTAGATATGGTTATTTCTAGCCCTAACCCTAAAAGAGATTGGCATTTTAAGGAGTTATTTTTAACTCTTCCACATGACAAGCATGGTAGTAACCTCCAAATAAGAAATCTACTTGCACAGCCTCATGTTCCTGACCAAAGGGTACACGAACACGGAGCTTCTACCCCTTGCCTTGCTGACTGTAAGAGCAATATTAGTGTTTATTGTTGACTGAATTTTGAAATGTGAGTAGTGCACCAAGTAAATATCAAACAGAACATACTGTACTGGCTGACACACGGATTATGCACATGTCACTTCAATGAACTTCAGTTTCTGCCTGCTCAGCTGCAACTAGATCAAGGAAGGTGCGTGCTGCTAACTGGAAGTGTACTTCAAAGGATTAAAACCACGAGAAACACAGGATTTATGTGAACAGTCTTTACAAATTTTAGCATATTTACATCTAATTATCAATAGCAATTTTTAAAAAAATTCTGCCTAGAGATATTTTACTTTATTTTAAAAAGAGGGTATGTGTCTACAGAATGCCTCTTGATTCAGTGCCAAAGGTTACATAACCCATCAGCTCAGCTTCATCTGTCTATTCTTCAGACAGGTCCTACTTAGCCTCCCACCAGGGTCAGTCATCCCAGGAAGTCAGTCAGCTGTTCAAGGTTACAGTAAGCTATTATATCCTCCTAATTTTTTACTTTAGTCACACAGACTCTTACACTCTCCCCATCTTTGAAAACTACATTACCAGGCCAACAGAAACATACCATTCTGAGAATTATTTTCACATTGTATTTTTCTTCATGAAGAAGTAATATGGGTACAGAACAGAGCAATAAACAAGAAAAATGGATTCATGGCAAGGCTCTCCATAGATAAGGGTGAGACAAATTTGCATCTGCTAAGGGCAGAGAAAAAAAGGAATTGTTTTTGTGAACTTGCAAGTTAAATGTCTTCAGAAGAACTGTAGCTGTATGTATGACAATGAAAGATTAAATATCAGCCACTATAGAAAAAACTGGCATGCTGTAGCCTAAGTAAGTTACTGCTCCTTTGGCTAAGGAACAAAAAAATTACCCAGTCAACAGGGGTTAGTAAGGAGAACAACCAAGAGTAAAAAATGCCCATCAAAACTTGCAGTGCCCTGAGTATGAGCCACGCTTCAGGATTAGTGCTACATCCTTTTACAAATCCTTTAAACTTAAAGAAAAATACGGGAAAACAGGGCTTCTTTCATAATGATATAATGATAGAGTGCTTTAGCTACAGCATGATTAATGCCTGGATTCTAAAGCCAAGTTGCAAGAGCACCCAAGTTCAGGGAGTCCGGCGGCTCCTGCCTCGCCCCTGCCAAGGGCGTTCCCTGCCCCAGCCAGGGCTCCTGCCCAGCCAGCTGAGCTCAGGGCACAGTCTGCACTGCAGCCTGGGGCACAAACAGCACCCTGAGATTTTCTGCTGTCATGGCATGAATGTTTTGCTATTAAAGAATGAGAAGAATCTGCATATATATTTTACGTATGTACATATATATATATATATGTATTTAGACAAATACCATCTTGTAACCTTGGAAATCCGTCTTGAATTATCCTCTGTATTTTAATCTTAAATTCGAATTGGGGATTAATTCTTATTATAATATTGTACCAAAAATGAAAGTTGCACCTGTTGAAAACACTCTGCTTGCCTTTCTATTTGATAAGAAGCTCAGCAAAACATAGAAGGAGAAAGACAATGATCTGCAAGATAGGTGCAGCTTCATTTTACATTTTTAATGATAGGAGTGACACTCCATTCAAGCTTTGCAGCATGCCTTCTTCAGTCTTAACAGCCTTTTAATCTTCACACACAGCTACTTTTTCATGTTCATAAATCTTGCTATTTCTAGAGCCTGACTTTCAATCACCATGTTCAGAATATTTTGGATTAGAACTCCATGAAAAATACCACATGCTATGAAAAATAAAAAGCAGCAAAAGACTGTACACTGTTAGTTGCTGAAACAAAAAAATACAAAAGGTACTTACAATAGTTCTCCCTAAGAAATTAGTATCCAATCAGACCAAGTATAGCAATAGATTAATCAAAGCAGATACTGGTTTCATCCCTATTTTCCAACAATCTTTAGAACAAATTCCAGTATTTACATTCCTGTTGATAGAAAAAAAACCAGAGGTTAAAAAACTTCTTTTTCACATAATCTTCAGCTTTGTTTCTGAAGGCACAACTTCAAAACTATGACCAAAACAACATTTTAAAATTGTCTTTCGGTCAAGAAATCCAAATTAAAATATATTCTTAAATTGAAAGAGTCTGAGGTCAGGGAAAGTCTGAGATGTAGATGTTTTACTAAAACTAGCAAGGCACATAAATTGGAGATACCTCAGAAAATCCAAAGAAAACAAAACAAAATCCTGGAATTAAAAACTAGAGGGCAGCAAAAAGGAGAAAAACTGTAACAGCAGATAGAATAACATCCCATGACCCAGACTTCTCTCTCCTAGGAAATTCTGTATCTGATTACAAGTTGGATTTTCTGGAACTCTTCAGCTCCCTAATGCTGTCTCACCCACCCTGGGAGGACAGCAACAGACACAGAGGCCCTATCACATGTACACACTGCAATGAAATCCATTTTCATACTTCTAAAAATCGAGATATGATCACATATTTTTTTTTACTTTTCTGATAACAAACACAAGTCTGCCTCATATCAGTGGAAGCAGTCAAAAAATACCACAACCAACCAACCACCCTCATCAGAATTCTTTCACTTTTGCTGCTGGTTACAAAGGGCAAGGTCAGAGGAGGAGCAGAACAATCATTAACTTGTTCCTTTGCCCTTCTTGGCCAATGCTGTGGGTGCCAAGCTTTCTATGGATGGAAGTAGTTGGGGGTTCTTTAAAGGACTTCAAAGAAAACTGCAAAGCAATCAAGCAGATAGCAAAATGAAGCAATTAAGAAAATGAAACATATCCAAATAAAAGCTCAATCAACTAATCAATTACATGAAAACTTGTTTTCTTAGAGAGAATAGTTCACTGTTATCTTCTCTGTTACGTGGTGATTTACTTCAGGATAAACAATGAGAACATTAAATTAATACATTTCCTACTGCTCTTCATAAAGGTATTAAATTTAAAAAAAAGTATTTGACAAAAAAAATGATTTTTCATAGTTGGTTACTTTCCCTTCCAAATCGGCCTATTCTAAGATACTGTGGTTTCAAACTGTTCATTGAAGAAATGAAGCATCCTCCCAGTTAGCTACATGAAGCATAGCAAAGAAAAGAGCAATGTAAGATTGTAGCAGTGAAGGAGTCATGAAAACAGTCTGCAAACATATTTGTACTTTGTAGCAGGTGCAGATTAATAACAGTTTAACAAGACAGACATTACCTCGACTGAAATGAGTACTTACAACCATTTAGAGGGCTTCTAGCAGGAAGACAGGAGCATCAGACAGTAGTACAGAAGCAGAAATAAACTTAAAGAGAAATATATAAGCATAAAAGCATAGCCATTGTGCAAAAGAGAACTGCCTGAAGTTTCAATTACAGCTAAAAAAAATATTACCTGACTGAACTTCTCCCTGCAGAATTCTTAAGAACTACTGCGATCTTAACAAAGCAAAACTGAACAAAATCGCATTTTTATTAACAAGAAGCAGAAAGGAAATTCTAGAAAATCCGATGGGTCTAATAAAAGAAAAACAATAACCGAGTGGGCACGGCTGGGTTCGGGGCAGCCCCGGGCGGTGGCGGTGCCCGTCCCCATGGCAACGCCCCGCCGTGGGACCACCCGCCGGGGCCGTGCGCGCCCGGGGGACAGCGGCGGCCCCGCCGGCTCTCGGCACTCCCGGGGCACCGCCGTGAGGGCGGCGCGGGGGCACCGAGCCCCCTGCCCGGCGGGGACCCCTCCGAGCCGCGCGGGGCAGCGAGAGCCGCCAGTGCGGGCAGCCGTGCAGCCCGACCCGCCCCGGGGTCCCTCCCGCTGCCCCTGTCCCACCGCTGTCCGGGCACTGCCGGGCGCGCAAAGCGCTCCCCTGACAACTCACGGACGCGTCCGTCCCGCTCGGCGCGGCCCCGGCGCGGGAGCCGCTCCCGGTACGCACGCTGAGAAGATGGCGGCTCCCGGCAGCCTCAGCGCCCGCGGGCGGGAGCGGCGCCCCCTGCCGGGCCGGGGGGGGCGCGGCGGGGCGGCTCCGGCCGGCGGAGGGCGGCGCGTGGCGGCGGCGGCGGGAACTGCAGGGCGAGAGCCCTCAAACCCCTGAGCCCTCAAACCCGCTCAGCCCGCTCAAATCTCCCCGTCAAACCCTCAGGCCGCTCAAACCCCTCAGCCCGCTCAAACCCCTCAGCCCGCTCAAACCGCTCAGCCCGCTCAAACCCCTCAGCCCACTCAAATCCCTCAGCCCACTCAAACTGCTCAGCCCCCTGAGCCCACTCAAACCCATGAGCCCACTCAAACCCCTGAGCCCGCTCAAACCCCTCAACCCACTCAAATCCCTCAGCCCACTCAAACCCCTCAGCCCGCTCAGCCCCCTCAACCTCGCGTGTCTCGGTCCCCTCAGTGCCCCATGTGCACAATGGGGTTTCTTTGCAGTTTTCTTTGAAGTCCTTTAAAGAACCCCCAACTACTGTGCACAATGGGGTTTCCATACTTATGCCTCCCTGCATTATGTATGTGAGGTATGTATTGTATTTTTTCAGCTCGTGTTATTTACGCAATGAATAAGTAAAGAAACCACCCAGTTATCTTGGAAAGTCAATGCTCTATAGCACACATGGTGGCACTTTACATACACACTCTTCTCCCAAGCCTGGTACTGCACAGCATTTCACACAAAATTAATTTCTTCCACTCTGGAAAGTAACTTTCTGTATATATTATCACATAGAGTTGATTTAAACTGCTGTTTTTCATTAAAAATGTCATTTAAAAAAGTAATCTGAAGTGTCTGGGAACAGCGGTTTTGGCTGCAGCTCACTTGAAAAGACACTTTTGCTTAATGAAGGGGCAATACTTAGAGGCATAATGGGGAGCTGCCAACCACTGCCAATGTCTGACTAAGCAAAGTCCAGATGGTGGATTTGGAGGGATTTTCTGCACGAGGTTTGGGTTTGGTTTGGGTTTTGTTTGGTTGGTTTTTTTTTCTTTCTGTGAAACATGAACATCTCGTAGCTTGGACAATTACCAAATGTTTCAGGTTATTTCATGCAAAAATGATCTCTTAACATCCTTCTATGGGAGGAGTTGGTAACATTTTTGAGATTACCTTAATGTGCACCATACTAAAATTTCTATTACAATTAGACTTCTTTTAACAAAAATTACTACTTCAAATATTTATATACATACTTCAGAGTAATATGGGGAATTGCCTCCTGAGATCCTTTCCATTAAAAAATATAACAAATAATATAAATTCGAAAAAATCAGATCATACAAAAAGTATAATCTGTTTGAAACTTTCTTTACACAGTTGTGTTAAAATTTCAATCTGTTCTGACCTGTCTGAGACAGATAAATATAAACTGGATTTAGCACACAATTCTTTGACACAAACAGTTCAGTCCATAATGAGTCATGAGTCACAAAGGTTCATATGGGAAACTCATATGTGGTTTGTTGACATATTACCTAAGAAATTAATGTAATTTATTTCCTACTCATTTTATTGACTAATTAATTGGACCATTAGTCAGGTTAATGAATGGAGTGAAAAAAGCAATCCACAGCTGGAATTTCAGAGGTGCAGCAGAGAAAGAAAATCAAATATGGAAAAATGTCAAGACAGTGCCTTGATTAGGAACATTTTCTCATGAATATGACAATAGAAAATCAAATAACTGATAAGTAACAGATGTCTGAAAGCTCTCTTTTCCCTTGAATTACATCCAATGTTCTTGGAGGCATCCAAGAGATGCAGTCATTTGGTAGGAAAACTATGCATTTGTATGCTGGTCCACAGAAAATCAAATCTGATTCTCTCTTCCAAAACAGTATGACACCCTTTCCCTTTATCCACAGCACTTACAGAACACTCTTTCTTTCCTTTTGTTGCAAGCAGATGATAGACATCATTCTCATTACATTTTCATGAAGGTAGTGGAAAAGTCTCAAGGGAAGTTTGAGATAAATAGAGGTATCATTATGGTACAGAAACAGGAAAAGTTGAAAAGATATGATGAGCCTTTTCAATTTCAGCAATGAAATCCTGCGCAGGACAAATGTTCCTACAACTCCCAGATCTGTTGCTGATCAGATGATGCAATAAAATGCCTTCTCATTAAAACTAAAGCCATCAAATAATGGCAGCAGTACTGTGGAAAAGTTAGCATTTAAGCATGTAAAAAAATATGATGTCTTAGTATGCTGCTCACTGAAACTACTAAGTGGTGTCAAATCAGGGACAAGCAGTGTTTACTTTCTTTCACAATTCACTGAGCAGGTGAGCAAAGATAAATGCCAAATGAACAGGAAAATGCAACTAGTGATTTATTTTGGTTCTGTTTGAACTGATTAATGCAAGAAATAATTATCTAGAGCTGGGACTTTGGACTCAGCAAGCATGTGGCATATGACCACATATGTGCTTTTCTATTCATAATTCCTTCGTGCTGGAATATCAGTGCTGGCACACAGATACTGTGTAAGTCTGATATAACAGGTAGAAAAAAGACAAGTTCAAGGCAGTGCTTCCCTATTCCCTGAATGCTTCCACATGTTATACCCTGATAGGAGAAAAGAGGCGGAGAGGAGCAAAGAGGAATGCTGTGGTTAACAAACATGTCCCTTTTAACTGATGGCTTTGGTCATTCCTTTTCCTCATGTCCTACTGATGATGTCTGAGAATTTTTATATATAGAGGAAACTCAGCATGACCATCCAAACCTTAGCTGAGCAAACTTTTCTGTAGTTCTTAAATGCTTTATATTGATGTTAAAGTAGAAGCTTAAAAAAGATATTCTTCACATGTCAAAGGCAGATGTATTTAATCAAGTGTCTTCTGACTTTGGACTCACTCAGAGCCAAACTACCAGGAAGAGATGCAGCAGCAGAATACAGAACAATGGACAAAGTGCCCCAGACTGCAGGCTGGGATCAAGAATGAGGAATCAGGACTGAGAGTTTCAGAAATAGCTTCTTTGACTGCTAACAGTCTGCCAAGGTTAGGTAGCTGTTCAGGATTTCTCTTACATCACTATCATTAGCCACAGACACACTTTAACACACTTGGTATCTGCGGTACACAACCCAAACAAGGGTGTGGACTGTGTTGGTAAGAGTCTGACTTACCAAATTCAGGTTTTACCTTCAAACCTTCATATTCCCTCAATGCACTAATAAATACTCCCACCTCTCACAATAAACCAGCATGGGGCACCTATGCCATGGGATAAGGGCCTGCCCCACTGCACTGCCAGCCACACCAACAGCTCTGGTAGGTCCTGTCCACCCACTGATAAGTGCTGACTGTTTGTAAACTTTGGCTTCCTACACTTCCTGCATCACCAGCACCCAGCCAACCCTGCTCAGAGGCTCCAGCCACGTGGAGTTTCACTGCACACATGCAGAGGAGAGGGACAGGAGGACAAAGTGTAAGCACTTGCTGCAGAGCTGCTGGGACACCAGTGTGGGCTGCCTGACTCTCCCAGCGCTGGAGAGACGCTGCCAGGGAGCTGCTGCAACAGCCCCTTTGTATGTGTGACTACAGGCCAATTATGGGCTGAAGTTGCCAGATGGATTTTGTCAGCAGAGTGCATTGTCATCCCATTTTCTGTGGGATGTGTGTCATCCAAGAGGTGTAATGATACAGACCCCTCCTGAAGAATATCCAGCTATTAGATCAGCGAGTGAGTGATGAGCTGTGAGCTGCTTTACAAGTTGTACTCTGCCTTTCTGCATTAGTGGACTCAGGAAGCACTGCAGGACTCTAAATTGCACTGCAGTGGTACTATCACTGCTCAGCTTGCAAAACACACAAATTTCCTAGGTTTTTTTATATTTTCACGCTTAACATACTGTTATCATGAAATCCCAATAACTGACCTTGATAAGGCCTTTTCTAGGAAGGTGTATGTACTGGAAGACAAAATGTTTAATTAATTTATTGGTTTTCTACCGCGCTGTCATTCTTCAGAGCAAACAAACAGGAATTGTCCAAGCAATGGTTCCAGCACAGGCTGGGAGTAAAGCCCATTAGAATAGCTTGTCTCCATCCTTCAAACAAATCCCAGCAGTGTCTCACAGATCTCCACTTCTGCACTAATATTTTGCCGTTTGGTGAGACCGTGATTAAAGAAATAAAAATCCTTTTTCCTGTATCTGTAGGTTCTCCATTGTTCAAAGCAGTTGCTGAAACAGAGGTATTGGGGGTCTTTTTGGCTTTTCTTGTAAAAGCTAACTAGGAAAAAAGCAAACAGGACTCGTTAGAGCTATACACTAATCAGAGAGAAATACACATGGAAGGAGTGAAACATATTGTGAAGCAAATAATTGATCTGCTGCCTATGAAGTGCTGTTCCAATCACATTACTCCAGGCATTGCT